GACAGATCTGAAACTCCGAAAGTCCATCAGGCCTTCACCGATGCCTCCGCGAATAAAGTTAGGGCCCAAAAGGGCAGCCAACCTATGAATTTCGAATGTCCAGAGCGATTTACAAATACAATTGTTACAAACCGTCGTTTAGAAAGAATGTATTTGGTTTACTTTTTGCATAAATTTACTTATTTTTGCGAAAGAACGCTCATTTATGTACATTCTTAGCCATCTTGGTTAGAATTGAAATCTGTAGGCTGGCAGTGAAATTTTGTGTGTTAGAAGTTGCTCTGAAAGGTGGCTGCACTTTTGGGCCCCAAGCCCTCCATGAACCGATCTGTCGCTACTCTCCCTATACAGGTACTCTAAGTCCATCTCGCGACATGCCACTATCATCGGGCATTTCGGATGCAGTCAGATTCACGCGCGGAAGATAGGGTACAAATTTAAGCATTCTGAAAAACGCTACCTCTTCGAAACGTAGGTACAGTTTAACGTGATTTAATAAAAATTAAAATTAACTCCTGACCAAGATATAAATGTTTCTTACAGGCCGAACGTGGAAAGTGTCTGGCAAAAAATTGGTACCTACTTCTACGGTACTTTTTACTGGATTATTCATTTGATCGATGCAGATTAGATTAAAAATTAATACTTTTTTTGGATCAGATTTTTTTTTTTTTTTTTTTTTTTTTTTTTTTTTTTTTTTTTTTTTTTTTTTTTTTTTTTTTTTTTTTTTTTTTTTTTTTTTTTTTTTTNTATTCGACAGAAAAATTTATAAAACGCATACACGACACGCAACAGACCGAAACAAAACAAAAACAAACTGTTACATGCAATATGCATTCTAAACACGTTCCAACCTACACGTGCAAATTCGGACTGCAAAAATAAGGCACATCAATGGCAAAAAAAGAGAATTCTCGATAAGGAAAAAACTTAGTTATGAGAATCGATAATTTCAATTAGCGCTATTCGATCCTGGAAACACATGGTGAGGATGAGAAAAATGGGGGAACCCTTTTTTTTTTCTTTTGCAAGGTGGGAATTAACATATTCAAGCGCGCTGTTTTGAGGGAACAAAACTGTCGACCGCGCTATACGTGTCTGGCAAAATTCTGCGAAAACTTGAAATGGGGGAACCTTGGAAGTTTCTGCACCCCTGATTTCTCACACGATCTCAAAGACCTATATCTTTAGGGGCGTCATGCATTTTATTCATGGTGTCTAGAATTTTTGACCAGGCTCATTCCCTGATTTTCAGGAGTTCATTCCCTGATTTTCAGGAGTTCATTCCCTGATGAGAAACCAAAGTTTTCTACTACTTCCCCGGGATTTTCTGGGGGAAAAGAATATGATTCTCCCGAGTTCTGTATAGTATGAACATCGATTTCAATTCATCTTTCAGCCATTTCTCTGGCGCACATTCAAATTTTTAATTCCGACAGCGTTCTTGATGTTTATATTATCCGGTCAATGAAAGCTTCTCCATTCTTTTGATGCTTTGAAGCTTCAAGTGTGTCATACAAAAAGTCAATTCGTAGCGCAGCGCTCGGTCAGATTAGACCGCCAAATTGAAAAACGAAATGATCCCTAGGCGGTAGAAGATGAGATTCCCGGTTCCTAGAACAGATTCCCCGATATTTCCATGTAAATTTTCATTCCCTGATGAATCCCGGTTTTTCCCGTTCTAGACACCATGATTATATTCTAGTTGGAAAAGATATTTAACACTCAAAAAGTTATAAAAATGAGAAATGTGAAATACTACATGATATCTAGAAAATACAAGAGGAATTCTGGTCATGAGGCACGACAAGGCGGCATCTACAAGACGATGAAAAAGAACAAAAACGAGGGATCCTACGTAGAAAATCGAGGACGCTAACTAGGAGCAGGCGCATGATCACGGAACCGATGCGAAAAGCAGAGTCAAAGATCAGCCGAGAAAAATGTTTCGTTTTATTACCGGGAGCTTTACCTGCATCTTGACCGCGATAGTGATGGAAGTCAGCTCGGCCCCCAGAGACTTGAGCACCACCAGTCGAGAAAGCGTGAACGAACACAGCCTGTAACAGAGGAAAAATAATTATTAGAATCGGCATTTCGACCTGCTTCCGGGAAGGATATCACTCACACCAAAATTTTCATTTCGCAGGTAACAAAAAACTGATTTGCCACGGCTAGAAATTCTACTTCGGCTTGAACTTTAGCAGATGGGCCAGAAATACGTTTCAAAATAATAATTTGATAACAAAATTGTGAGAAATAATGTCAATTATTGGCACTTATAATATTTGGGTTTGCTGCTCAATCTTTGAAAATGAACATGACCCGTCGTACGGTGGATCGGGTCAATTAAAGAGGTCGAACATGGAAATTTTGACAAAAACTGCACATTTTTACGGTTATATCGTCACATTTTAGACTATAAGGAGTGCATCTTGAAGAAAATTTCAAGAGAAAACCAATGGTGCCACTTTTACAACCTCAAAGCTTTGTATAAACGGAGTTATAAGCGTTTAAAGTTTCCAAATTTTGTCCGACCTTCCCTAGGTATTGCCTCGATCCACTGTGCGTCGTTTCCCGGACGAAAGAACATAACTTCATTTCTTGGTTGCAAATTTGACTCAAACAAATACAATTTTTCACAAGATTGTACTTGTGGAATATTTCAAAATTTGTCTTATCTTCTCCTGAGATCAGAGGAAAAAATAAGGCAATTTTCAGTCGGGAATGCTTAAAATCTCCCGGTAACGATGCAGTTTGCGAGGGGAAATTTAGCAATTTCAAATTTGGTTTCGTTCTTTCACGAGGAAAATGACGAACCTAGGCAAAAAAACCGCCTTCACACTCCTCATCAATGTCAAACTCGACGCTTGTGACGCTAGCCCTCAGACATGTCGATTGTGAAACTCGGCTTCCATGTTTCAGATGTAAAAACCGTTTATATCATAAACAATTACATCCCTTAACCGGAAATATTGAACAAGGTGTCTATTTTTTTCATTTTGGAATATCTTGATGAAATCCTGATTTTTCCTGATTTTTGACTGCTAAATCCTGATTTCATAATTTTTCCAAATCCCGATCAAATCCTGATTTTTTGCGGAGGGCGAATGAAACTTCACGAAAATAGCTCGATAAAAAAATCCGATCGGACGACCGACTTCACAAATCCTGATTTTACGACCGATTTTCCCCCAAATCCTGACAGAGTCGGGAAAATTGGTAAAATCCTGATGCTAGACACCCTGTTAAAGTTGTGCTTTCTTCATTCTTGAATATTTAGGGGTCTACGTGAGCTTACGGAAAATGGTTCGGGGGAGGTCGGGGGGAAGGGTGGCTTAAAGAGTGAGAATCACTCCGGATTTCTAAGAGTGCGCAAATGCAGGCTTTCGATGAATGAGAGCTTGACCAGGCGTCGAGTGAAGCCTGTGTCAATTAAAGCAAGTGCACAGCTATTGACAAGCCGATAAGCGTTCACTGAAATTACAATGAAGACTGTAATTTCAACCGTGAACCAAGTTCCGTGACAGGCATCGATTCGGTACGAATGATTAACACCTGGGTCATAACAGGACAGTTCTCGACCGTACATTCAATTAGTCATAATCAAACGGGCACGCGCGCTAGCCGATACTCAAAGAGTTCCATAAAATATTTCATAGCTCTGGGAAAATCGGGTTCATTATCCGAGGAAATACCTTCCCCAGGCAGTTTCTGCTTACACCGAGTTGTTTGATTTCGTTAAGAACCGTAGCACCACTTTGACATAATAATAGACCGCAGGGTGGCCATAGAATTTGGGAAATGAGATTCCCTGACATTTCCCTGATTTTTCTGACACATTTTGGTGAAATTCCCAGACGAGTGAAGATATGAGGACGGTTAGGAAGACAAGATTGAAATTATTTTTCAGGCAAAATTTGTTGTTTGAATCCTAAAGCTTATTCTAGAAAGCACATAAGGGTGATTTAACAAATTTTTCCTGACATTTTCGTCATTTTCCCAGAATGTTCCCGGTTTTCCGTCACTTTGTAGAATTCCCTGTCATTTCCCCGTCACTTCGTACTTTAAAAAGTCCCTTTAGCAAATTGTGTCACTGATCCACTGTCATGGTGCTTGAAGGTAGGGAAAGGTCAGAGAAATTCGTAATTTTACGAAGCTTGCGACTCTGATAGAAGTTCCCAGGTTGTTCCTGCAGTTCAGTGATTTCTATCAAATGGCTCCAAAATGAAAAATAGGCCTAGGAGAGGCTTTCGTGTCACTTCCACTATGAATAGACTGTGGAGTGTTTGCTATTTGGCTGTTCCCCGAGTCATCGTAAGTTGACATTTCCGTCGTCACAATAAACGCAGCGTTTCCTCGCTGCATATATGTAAGTGGGCCTGTACGTTGGAAAATTGCTGTCTCGTTAATTAAGAGTATCTAATACTTCATATTCACCGAATTCGATTTTGTTATTTACGAATTCCGAAACTTCACACGTAATACGAACTTTATCAGAACGTGGGGTTTTCTGTAGCATCTGGTGGAGCTACAATCTTTGTTCGAGCGCAGAAACTCCAATTGTGGTCTACGTTTACTTTGCTTTAGTTGTCGGAATTGGAGTAGTATGCGTCAGCAATGACTAACTCACGTTGAATTTTGTACTTTTCCCTCTATGTACGAATAGATCACCTTGAAAGAATCCTACACTCTGTGGATGTCCATCTCCGTGGGTGCCGCTGCGCACCAATTCACACAGCAACTAGCTTTGAGTCGTAATTTGCCTATGGTTAGAAATACGCAGTAGTCCATAGCGGTCCATTTCGATTTCCAAGTGCTAGATTTTTCAACTCACGCATAACAGTGAGGTGTCTATAATTCGACCACAGGGAGAAGAATCAGTCGTCGCCGAGAGGAAAAAAGACGCTACTCGATTTCCTCTTGTCATGGCAATGAGTATGTCGTCCTAGTTTCCAACTGGAAACGCCGTCCTAATTTCCAATTTGAAAAAAGTCGATTTTTTGGAAGATATATTTTTTTGTCACACAATTCAAATTAATAAAATTGGGTTCGCGAGGAAAATCGAGTCGATTCGATTAAGCGATATTTTCGAAAAAATTCCCAACCCTTGGAGGGATGGCAACTTTCAATCGAATTTTTGCGGCAGAAATCGATTCAATTGGATCGATTTTTAGAGGTCGATTTAAACTCGGAATCGATTTTTCGAGCCGAAATTGAATTACGTAAAAAAAAAAAAAAAATTAATTTCCTACGCTTATTTGTCACACAAGTCTTAGATTCTGCGGGACCTGAGTTTCATTTCAAGCTCAGTTTTCGTTAAAGTTGTGTTTTTGGCGCCGAACTTGGGTTATTAAATATTCCAAAATTGATTTCGAAAAATACCAATCTTTCCGAAATCGATTTTCTTCATCCAATATGAAAATCGAAATAGAATAGATGCGAATAGATTTTTTACCGAAAATCACCGAAATCGATTCATTCGAAGAAATCGCTATCCCTATCTACGTTGCTTCTTCCCTCGTCGTCGACTGACATTTGGAACGTGTCGCTGGACGAGTGGCGAGTGGTTCCACACACGTTCTCGCTCCTAGCAAGGGCCTTTGTTACCGTTTTGAGTTGGAAGCGGAGACGCGGCACAGTGGCTCCATTCAATTGGAGACGTCGGACATAAAATTGTTGACTAAAACTGTAAATTTTGATGTTCATTACGCCACATTTTGAATTTTAAATGTGTACTCCTGAAGGCAAATTTCACGAGAAAACCGATGGAACCACTTTTGGAACCTCAATGTTTTGTATGTACGGAGTTACTAGAGTCCCTTCATACTGAGAGTCAAGACAATACGAATCCATTTCTGATTGGTTAACCGGATTTTAGGCCTTCACAGTGTCACAAACGGGAATAAAGATTACATTTCACCAATTGCAAAGATTATAATCTGGAATGGACCGAGGAATTTCGGGTTCGACAAGGAACAAACGGAATGAGAGAAGGAACGGAGAAAGGAATTTAAGAATGAGCCGATCAAAGATTACGAAAAACGTTCAATTTGTGTAATCTTTATTCCCGTTTGTGACTCCATGACGGGTGTTGTCTTGACTCTCAGTATAAAGGGACTCTAATCGGTCGTAGAGAAAATACAGAAGGTGGTGGCAAGCAGAGAAATGTACTTTTCTACGTCACAGCTGAAAATGAAGCCGTCCTTCTGATTGGTAAATAGTATCGCGGGAAAACCGAGACATCTTTGAGATTTAAAAAGCGGGAAAGGTTGTGAGGTTCCCACTTATTTTGGCTCTAAAAACTCGTAACTATTGACTTTTTATGTTCAATATGTTTTTCAATCAATGTTCGACTGCAACTGAAAATAATTTGTAAGTTGAAACTGTATATTTCATATAAAAATAACTTTTATCTCGACTCGTCCCGCTTTGAAGGTATAACCATGTTAAATTACGTTCTGTGCGTCAAAAAAGCAGAAATTGGAGAGTCGTGGTGATTTATGTTCAATTACATGACTTTCAATGTTAGGTTCAGTGGTGATGTAGGTCTTTATACAGGTTCCATCATGAAAAGGGTTATGGGACATTTCCTCAACGATTTTTTGTCCGCGCACCTGTTTTTTCCAGTAATGTTACGTCCAAGCGTTTTTTCGGCACGAGAGTTTTGGCACACGTGCCAGTTGAGACCCAAACTCAATTGGCCCACATGTAAATACAAACGACAATTGCTCACAACGTTTTTGGATGAAAATATACAATGTCTCGGAAGAATGAGGGTTTGCTTATTTTTTTGTTGTGTCTGTTTGGTCCAACGGAGAATAATATATAGTTGAGAGTTTTGGTAAAAATGGGGGAGTGTCAATTCCATGAGACAAAATTCACTAAAACTCTCTACACCTCTTTGGTGTGACAGGACTTAATTATCTTTCAAGAAATCCCCACCTTGTTATACCTGAACCGGATGAACATCTATATTTGCCTCAGCTAAAGGCTCTTAGATTTTTCCTGTGTACGATAAGTATCTTGATTTATTTTGCGAGGAAATATTTGTACCTTT